TACAGCCACCGTGTGACCCCCCACTCGGTTCTAGAAAACGGGTTCCAACTGGTCAGGCGCCCAGAGCCACCAGCTTTCTCCGCAGCTGGACTGCCAGCCACAATGAAGTTTCAGCCTAGCCACACAGCCTCATTTTCCATCCGTCTCTCCTGAATCTAGTATAGCCTTCCCAACCCAGTGGCCCAATGTAGAGGAATTTTTCTGTAGTTCCACTGTCCTGCATACGGAGAACACCGTACTCTATTGGCACCTTCAGCTTTCTCTCCCTTTAGTCTCCTCTGTGTTTCTCTCTCTCTCTCTCTCTCTCTCTCTCTCTGTCTCTGTCTCTGTCCCTCTTCCTCTTTTTTTTTCGTCCCACTTTTTCATGCATAAATGGGAGTCGGCAGACCCTGTCCTGTATCCTCTCCGGTTCAGCCACCCAAATATGGCTGTGTCTTGTGCTTTACGCTCATTTCTTCAGGCTCTGGAATGTCCCATAACTGTGGCAAGGCGTCGCTTGTCAGCTAATGAAATCAAGTTTTCAGCTGTAGGGTCTGTTCAAGCCAACCAATAGACGTAAACGTACTATGTAACCTGCAGTAGTATGGTCTGTAGTAAGAGTAGGCGATGCTCCACAGTTGGACATTACATTCCGTGATGTTTGATAGAGACAGGTTATTGAACTTACACGACCTCCTTGAATGAAGCAATTATACACAACACAAGATGATCAGTGTAGACTGCGTGGATGTGGATCATAAGAATGGACTACTATCTTGCCTCTCCATGAATGCCAAGACGCACTCTCTATATTAAGCTGCTTCTCAGTTATGGAGACTAAGAACTTTAGTGTATCTGGTAAGGCAGGCACTCTGTACACCGTGCTCTGTAGTAAATTACTAGTGAGTAGTTCACTAGTAAGTAGTCCGTAGATCTTGTATACTCAGCCCCAAAGGCCCATGCTGAGGGGAAAGGTTCTGCATCGTCACCCTCAATATGGAGGAGAGCATCACATTAAGCTATCCAGTAACTGTATAGTAGTAATCTTCAGAATGATGCCCAAAATGGGCGAATTTACTTTTATTTCATACTACATACAGGAGCATCTAGTTCTCTGCATGCTTTCAGTTTGCTCAGCCCATGCGGCGGTGATTAAATACGCAACGCCTCAAATGGGACGGGAAAGTTGGAAAGTTTCCGGTTTCCTGACCAGCGTCCACCCGGCAGAGCCGCCCGTAACCTTGGTCATCAATGGTACGGGCCACTTCTCCAGCCACTCTGCCTCCCTCGTGTTCTTCTTCCGGCTCTTCTTTCCTCCTCTTTCTCTCTCTCTCTTTCCCTCTCTCTCTGTATGTGTACGCTAAGTTATATCAGACTTATCTTGGTCTCACGGTGAATATCTTCTCATTTTTGTGATTATACCTTTTTTTTTCTCCTCTCTAGTCTTGTTTTTTGATAGGGATCTTTTTTTTTTCTTCCACCTGGAAGTCTGTTTCGCTTTGACCGCCTGACCCAATCAGGAACGATCCCCGCGGCTGCTCCCTAGGCGACCCGAAACCAACATTACAACCTTTCACAATACTTTACTTATTTAGGATTATTACTGCTGCTAGTTATTCACCTCCTGCTTACTACTGCGAACCAAAGTGAACTAACTAATCAACTACACTATTCTCTTGCCTGCCTGCCTGCCTGCCTTCCCTCCTGTATCCATTCTGCCACTGTCTGTCTGCATCAGGTTTTATGCTTCTCTCTCCACCAACTGACTTCTTCTTCCTCTGTTTCTTCACCTCCTTTGGCGTCTCTCTTTATTCACTCCACTTCGTAATAAACGCGGTCCCACCTCTTCCATCTTCCTTCTGACGCTTCATCACCGTCCAATAGTCCTTGTTCTTTGGGGATTTTCGTTCATTTCTACATCCTTCCGCCAACAGTCCCTCTTCCGTCTCCCGAAAGCTCTCCATCTTTCCTCCCACCCTTTTCTCCTCTCCCCCTTGCCTTTTCTTTTTCTTCTTTTCGAAGACTTCATGCTTTGCTGGAGATTCATGTCACTTGTACATTGACCAGCTTTCAACGACATAGCTCTGCATAATTCTCCTGACGTCGTTGCTTTGACAATCGCGGGTTCCAGCTTCCTCCCTGCAGCCTAACCCAAGCATTGTCATTCCGCCGTACAACCCCGGTCTCATACGGCTTTCCACCAGATGGACTAAAGTCCCCTCCACCCCCCCCTCCTCCCACCAGATCCGGATCCAGATCGTGCGGGCGCTAGACTCAACCTTCTTCATCTGATTGCAAGGCTGACCGCTATTTTTACCTCCTGCGAGGCCCGTATCTGTATCTGTGGGACCTCATTGTCTGACAAGACATCGCGCGAAGGCTGAACCTCCCGTCAGCTTGCGCCACACTCGGTTCTAGGTGAGCGCCCCACGCAACAGTGCCTCTGATCAATGTTACTCGTTCTTTTGTCCTGCCTCATTGCTTTCTATATGTCCGTTGTGCCCTCGGACATCTGGTGCCCTTTTATCCCCTCTTTCTTGGTCGCCCTGAATCTTCCATGACTCCCCACTCATCACCGGAGAAAGACTACTCCTACTGACATGGCCTCTGTTGACTTAGCTTTCTCACACCTTCGCCAACCATTCCAGGCTGGCGCGAAACATCCATTATCCATGGCTGCATTGATGCAATCGAACAACGAACCTGTTCCCATCTCGAAACCATTGCCAGGGCCATCGAACCCCGTAATATCCGCTCCGTCGGAACCGCTCGCCTTTCTGAAACAGTCAAAGCCTGATTCAAGCCTGTCCTCTATCGCCAGTGCAGGTCTGAACGTTTCGCGCTCCGGCGATTCGCTACCACCGATGACGACGACCGCACCGCCAGCCACGGCTGGCCAGACAGATCGCCCGCTGGAGCACGAGAAGGAATCGGAACAGCACAGCTCACAAGTTGCGAGAGAGGCCCTCGGTGCCAGCGAGAAGCAGACAAATCCCGTGAATGAGGCCATGCAATCTTCGTCAGACCAAATGCAAGTTGATTCACATTCAGGACCAGGCAATGCACCTGATACGTTCGGGGCAGCCGATAACAATAACACACTTATCGATGCCTCAACCGTGGCCAGTCCTGGTCCTATCGAGGATTCTGGCTCTGCAGATGGCGATCATCCTCGCCACCGTGATGACGGAGAAATGCCGCAAGAAACAGGCAACAAAGCCTTCTCGTATCCCATGCCCACGGCTAGTTTCAATGACCCTCGCCGTGGTCTCAGCTTACCCGGTTCTGGGTTTCACAAAGGCCAGCGGTCACCGTCGGCCAAAAAGCATCGTTGCCCATACTGTGCTACGGAGTTTACCAGGCATCATAACCTGAAGAGCCATTTACTTACGCATAGCCAGGAGAAGCCATATGTTTGCCAAACATGTCAATCGCGCTTCCGTCGGTTACATGATCTGAAGAGACACACAAAGCTTCATACTGGCGAACGGCCCCATATTTGCCCTAAGTGCGGGCGCAGGTTCGCCCGTGGCGACGCTTTAGCTCGCCACAACAAGGGCCAAGGCGGATGCGCAGGGCGCAGAGCAAGCATGGGAAGCTACGTTCCCGAGGATGAATACGGCGAGGCTCCGGCCCCTGGAGCCGCGGATGATACGATGGATGGACTTGTGTACACAGCTGAGCCAGAGCGCATGGATGAGGAAGAAGAGCGGCGGCTCATGCCCAGCATCAAGAAGCATGACATGTCGACGGACTCCATTTCACGTTCAAACACTACGAGCTATCAACCACGCCAGCCCAGCACATATCCACCGATCGCTTCAGGAAGACCTTCCCCCGGGGGTCTCTTTCCTCCTCCAAGCCATGGTGGCTCTAGCGCGTCAACGTCTCCTGTATCGCAGTCCGGCAACATGACATTCCCACCGCCTGGTCAGCCTTCAGGGGCATCGGTTTTCCCCACCAACATCACGGGGAGCCCGAAACCATTGTCCCCAAATGCACTGTCATCGCATCAGCTTGGCCATGGGCCGGAGAATAACATTCATCATCGTGCTCATTCGCCCGGCATGGCTCAGTCGTTCCAGCAGCAGACATTCGGCAGGACAGGATCTTCCTCGAGTTCGGTAACGAATCATGCTGCTTCGGGCTTGGGTTTGCCTCCACCGCAACCGGGTGCTCCCCAGCTCCCGCCGCCCCCTGGGATGAACTCGTCTGAATCTCGGTTCGGCCTTCACTCTCAAGGATCAGTGCCGCCGGCGCCTTCGACAGCTACAAAACACATGACCCCTCACAATCACACAAACAACCACGGCGGTCCACTACCGACAAAACCTGGATCAGAAGGGACCTCGAATAATGGCAACCAAATGACCAGTCCTCACGAGTCCAACCTCATTGAGCAGTTCCGTGAGCGGGAAGACAAGCTGTGGGCTTATGTCCGCTCGGTGCACGACGAATTGAATGGACTTCGAACGGAAGTCGCCGCTCTAAGAGCCCAACTTGCGTCAGCTAACGTCAACGCACTAGCAATGTCAAATCAGAGTGCCCCTCAGTCTCAACCCGAGACAAACGCTGCTGGTACATCCCAGCGGTGAACCAGTTCTACTCACGGAAGATCCGTGTCAATGTCTAAACATCTCCTGTTCCTTTTGTTCATTATTAGATATCACCTCCCCATTCCTTCTGTGATGGATTCCAAACGCGCTGATGCGACTCACTATAATACCCTTTCTATAGCCAAGTGAATAATTCTCCTACCGTTGACGACTGTCTTAACTCCCAGTTCCTTTCCTTTTTCCTTTTTCCCCGGTTCGGTTCTTCAATCCCATCTCCTGTTTGCGCGTTGCATTATTCTACTTCGACTATACATCTATGCTACTCATGAGGTGGTCGCAGAGTCGACCCGCCCTGTTTCCTCTTTTTCATATCGAATCGCACGTTTCTACGTGTGGTATCTCATGATTGTGCTTCTTTTAAGGTCAAAATTCTTCTACTTATATGTGGTAACATTCCATCCGCCTGCCAGTCTCTGAGTATTGGCAGGACATGTTGGAGGTTCCTGATTCACAGGGTCATTCGCAAATCTTCTCTACTTTAGCTGGATGACAGCAACTCTTGTCTTTTTATATCACGTTGTTTTATTGGGCGTCTCATAGCCGCATGCCTTGTATGTATCAGCATCCCATTGCCGTGAGAGATGAGCCGGGAGTCTGGAGGCCAAAAATTCGATTTATTAGCTCAGGAGACCACTATGCGTGAGCGACTGGCTTGATTAATTCAATTGTTTATTCAATAACGAGAAGTGATGGAATCGTAATCTACAACTTCGCACCAGTACAATCTCGAGACCGTGACACATGAAGCGGTCTCGAAGTGCAATCCATCTGTAGTACTTCTTCTTCTGCACCATTGTACCCATAATTACCTCCACACTGTCTTAAGAGTCGCCTATGATCTCCGGCGGGCCGTCCAGGCCAGAAACAAGCCCACATCAGCGACAACAGCCTTAGGGACTCCGCCCATGGTCCAGCTCCGCTGGATCCACTGAGGAATCGCCCCGCCAGCATCGGAAGTAGTCGCCATGGTCCATTGCAGCCCGTCCGCCGTCGCAACGACCCCCTCCACACTTGCATAGGACGCGAAGATCGTATTCCGGGGCACTGCCGCCATGATCTTCTCCCGGATAGCGTCGGGACTCGACTCAACAGCAAGTGGGATCTGAACTGTCACAAACCCTTGCTGCTCCCCAGCTGCTGCTGCTCGGTCTGCCGAGATCACTAAGACCAGGAACGAGCGAGGCGCAATTAGAACTGTGGGTTGGAAGGTATGCGTGATTAGGTTCACTGCATAGATTATAGTACGTGATTAGTAACTAATATCCCTATACACGCGCGCGCGCGCAACACACCATAACTGCAAAGGGGATTAAAGATGTCGCCAGACAAACGAGGAAAATTGAAAGGGGAAAGAAAAATAGAAGAGAAAAGTATGGAGTAATACTAACCATGAGCATCCACCTTCTCCCAACCACCTTCTACATCAACCTCAGACGGCCACTCCAGCAACTTCACCACGGACGTCACACTCGGCGTATAATCCATTTCATTTTCGGAGTGGTTTTCTCGTAGTCCGGAGCGGAATTCGTCCCATGAGGCGGACCCCGTCACTGCTGCGTCTTGGTGCGTGCTTTGTCGACATACCCAGTAGTCTCCGGATCCATTGTCGGTGCGCGTGTAGAGGTGGACGGCGGCGGTGGATGGCGGTGCGCCGCGGGGTTTGCGGTGGCGGCGGAATGTGGTGGGGACGGAGGAGAGAAGGACTTGGGATTCGGTGAGGCAGGCGTGGAGGAAGGAGCGGAGTTGGGGACGAGATGGGGTTGATGGTGTTGAGGAAGTGTTGTTTGTTAGTTCGTCAAGAAGGGCGGGATGAGAGGGGAGGATGGAAAAGGGGTGTGGGTTGAGATGGAGGTACATTGTGAGATAGTAGTCATGTGTTGGTGATAAGGAGAGAAGGGATGAAGAATTGAAGAATTGAAGTAGTTGGATAGTGATGGTTTGGGTTATAAGTGGAAGGAGTTCATGTAAAGTAGTAGTATCGGGTGGAAGGTGGCATTAATATTTTCATCATCCTTCCTTCCTTCCTTTCTTCCTTCCTTTTTCATTGCTTGCTCCCTCTTTCGGCTCATCCCTTTTTCTAGACTTCATCATGGGGTCGGAGTATGATATGTCAGTGGGACTCAACCCACAGAATGCCATCAAACTCTAGAATTAAGGGTTAGTATTACATATATTCATTGTATATCTGGCGCGCATGCGACGTGTCTCAGCTGGTCGCGTTGACCAGCACGGTTGAGGCGCAATATATTGCAGCTTCACGAATGTATAATATATATAGGCTTCGAGGCACATGGTGGAATCACCGACAAAGCCAGAAGTCAGAGGCCACCATATTCGCACCGTGATGGAATTGAATAGCTTGCTCTGTCGAGAACCGTCACTGGCTCTTATCTGCCGAACATTATCTGATCGTCCACATCAACTCTACGTATTAAAGATAGATTGTCTGGGTATATGCTAGGCTATGTACATGTTCTATTGGTTCATATATTCATGAGCTCACATGCTCCGGAGAGCAACCTGGAGCATTGACAGTCATTTGGTCGTGAGAAGCCGTCTGGTCCGTTCGACTACGGGCCTATCGGCATCGCCTCCGTGGCAGACGGCTCTGTCGAGCACGCATTGCAATGCAGCCAAGGTTATATGGCAGCATGCTTCACGTCTTGCCTCAAGTCTTTTGGTCTAATAATCATCTTTGATTGGACAACCTCTTGATCACAAGCAACGCACCCCGGGGCCAACGCTGCCAGTGTCGAAGATTTCGACCAACCCCGCCCCGAGCGCCTCCTCCAGAGCCCAGCGGAAGTTCATCCCGTAGAGATCCTTGTACTTTTTCGTCCGGCCTGGCAAGATGCCGGAAAACTCGCCTCGAACTCTCTTCGCCACACTGAAGCTCTTTTCACTCTCGACTGCCCCATCCCAGCGGTCACGCAGGAGGTAGACAGGGACCTCGTTCGAACTAGACCTTTTCAGAAGAGAAAGGAGGTGTGAGCGGCCAGCGCTCAGCAGACGAAGGTAGGGACCTGTGTTTGGAAGCGAAAGAAAGAGTGTCGCGGTAGTTGATGATGAGCGAGGGTTCGCTCCGACCTCGTGTGGTGGGTAAGAGCCACTTCGACTTGCGGAAGCCGGAGTAGTCGAGGTTGTAGGGAGAATAGGGAGGGAAGCTAAGCTGGATGAGCCTTTCGCTAGGGACGAAGAAGAGACGAGAAATCCAGCCCGGACCAGGGCCATACACTCCGGCGGAGTGAAAGCTGCTCCGGGAATTGCACATGTGTTTCCGATCCGACCAAGCAGCGTGAGAAATTTCTCTATTATGGATCAGCTTGCTGTCTGAATGACTAAATGAAAGCGATAGCCTCACCTTTCAGGGGTGCTTCCAATGCAAGGCTATCTAGCACCAAGCGGTCCCATTCCTCGCGCAACACTAAGCAATCGCCTAAGCCCGCGGCATCATTCCCTCTCCCGGGGACAATCAAGCGGCGGACCCGACCGGCGCGAACTAGCTCCATGATTTCCTTCTCGACCTTGGTGGGTGCTTCCAGCAGAGTATGAACGTGTGCGACGGAGGCGAGGGGAGGCAGGGAGCGACGAAAGTTGAGGACCTCGGCGATGCGCGTGCTATTCATGCCCGCTCGGCGGGGCAGATCTTCAAACATGCTGTTGCGAATGTACTGGAGAGCCTCGACCACATCTGTTACGGGAGCAGTTTCGGGGATGTATCGTGATGGCCCGAGATCTGAAAGGGGGCCTTGCTCGTACTCATCCTGCTCGCTGGAGATCTTGGAGATGCCGGATGATGACGGCGCCGAAGGTTTGCGACGGGCATGGGCGGCGAAGGGAGAGGCCCGCGGCCTCGAGGTAGCGGGTTTTCGGTTCTTCCTGATACCAGAAACGGGAGCCGAAGTAACGCGCAGGGGCATGGCAGGGTGAGTAAGTATACAATTGAATCAGGCACTAGGGAGGGGAGAGGAAACGAAGAGGAAGAAGAGGAAGAAAGATAGAAGCGGAGAATCGATGCGCCGGAAATGGAAGGGAGGGGATTAAGCACCTGAGGCAGCCGAAACTGATCGGCGGAGATAAGGTCATGTGACCTACTAGCATGATTTGGGCCAATGGCGGGACCGAGTGGAGACCCGTGAAGAACATCAGCAGAAAGACTTGTTCAAAGTCCCCCAAAGCAGGGGAATCATTTAGGCACAAAAACAGGGAATGCCAGAATAGTACTGAAATAATTTCTGTTAGACAGGAGAATCGTCTGATGGAAATGGAGAGAATTACCTAAGAATGGTGTCAACTTGGAACCAGATTCAAACAGAAAAAACCCGCTGGGTTGCTTTGCTTTTCCCTTTCACCAGCACATGACGTAGCCATGAGAACTTGCACTTTTTTGTTCTTCCATTCACCTTCTTCCATCTTCTCTCTCCCCGTTTCCTCCCTGTCCATCCCTTCCTCTTCTTCCCATTGTTCCGTCGCGATCTGCCTCTAAGTCGTAGGTTAATTGTCAGTCTTCTGTACATCTCGCCCTCGTCTTCTACATCCTCTTCTCTTTTCGGTTACTGGGTTTGACTCGTTCCGGGGTCCCAGCTACCCCGCTGTCAACATGACTATCTACATCGCCTCACTGTAAGTGATTACCCACTATACACATACAAAACTCTTAGGGTCCTCTCTGACCGGCGTGCGGTTCAGTTTCCTACCCTACACGGTTAATTTCCATCAGAATGAACCCGAGATTCGTCCGGCGGAGGGGACGAGCCCTCAACCAACCAATCCCGCCGAGAATCCTACTCCTAACCCGAACGCGACTCTGAGCTTGTTCGAGAGGAACAACGGAGCGCCCCAGGTCGGCCTTACACCTGGTGCCACTACTGAACATGAATGCATTTTCTCCACAGATATTTCTAAGGCGGAACAAGAGCACACCGGATTTCCTTTTCCCAAGACCGACGGCGATGTTGCCTTGTTGACGGAGAGCGAAGCTCACTCCCCAGCCTGGGGTTCCACCTTGGCCCTGAACCAACCTCGCCCGCGAGCGGCATTCCCGGCCTCGCCCTCGATTCTCAAGCATCAAGAAATCAGACCTTCAGGGACAGAAGCGCCCAAAGAGAAGCCGCGATCTGTCCCGAAGACGCCAACCTCGCATATCCGGGACAGCTGGGCGGACCACAGCCGCAAAAGCTCATTCTCATACGCCGACTGGACCATCGAAACGGCCGAGCAGGGCAACGGAGGCTTGCGCAACGCCGTGCGATCGGCCACGGACGCCGGGCAGCTGGAAGACAAGGTCTGGGTGGGTACGTTGGGAATGCCCACTGATGCGCTGCCGGAGCACACCAAGGAGGCCATCGCCGAGAAGCTCGAAGATGAGTACGGCTCCGTGACCGTTTACGTCAGTGACGGTGACTTTGATGGCCACTACACACACTTCTGCAAGACGATCCTCTGGCCCGTGTTCCATTATCAGATTCCGGACAACCCCAAGAGCAAGGCCTACGAGGATCATTCCTGGATCTACTACGTCAAAACAAACCAAGCCTTTGCCGAACGCATCGCAAAGAACTGGAAGCGTGGTGATTCCATCTGGGTGCAGGATTACCACCTGCTGCTGGTCCCGGCCATGCTGCGGAAACTGCTTCCCGATGCCCAGATTGGCTTTTTCCTCCACATTGCCTTCCCATCGTCGGAGGTGTTCCGGTGCCTGGCGCCTCGCAAGGAGCTTCTCGAGGGAATGCTGGGTGCTAATTTAGTCGGATTTCAGACGGATGAGTATTGTCGGCACTTCCTCCAGACGTGCAGCCGCATCCTCAATGTGGAGGCCACCAACGATGGACTGCAGTTGGAAGATCGTTTTGTCAACGTGAGCAAGTTCTCCATTGGCATTGACCCGACTTCATGGGATCAACGCCGGCAGGCCGCAGACGTGGAACGATGGATTAAGACCATTTCGGAGCGTTACGAGGGCAAGCGACTCATCGTGTCGCGAGACAAGATCGATCAGGTACGCGGCATTCGGCAGAAACTGCTGAGCTACGAACTATTCCTCAACACGTATCCCGAATGGCGAGACCAGGTGGTGTTGATCCAGGTGGCGACCAGCACCACCGAGCAGCCCGAGCTGGAAGCAACCATTTCCGATATCGCGATGCGGATCAACTCCACTCACTCCACGCTTGCGCATCAGCCATTGGTCTTCTTGAAACAGGATCTGGCTTTCCCACAATATCTTGCCTTGATTTCCGTGGCAGACGCCTTGATCATCACCAGCTTGCGTGAAGGAATGAACTTGACCAGCCATGAGTTCGTCTACTGTCAGGACGGTAAATGGGGCAACAAAAAGTACGGATCCCTGATACTGAGCGAGTTCACTGGCAGCGCGTCTGTGTTTGGCGACCATGCCCTTCTGGTCAACCCCTGGGACTACCGTCAGTGTGCGGAAGCCATCCATACCGCCTTGTCGAGGGATGAGCAAGAGCGCCAGGAAGTGTGGACGAAGATGCATCAGGCAGTGCTGCAGAACTCCACCCACAACTGGGTCAAGTCATTCAGTGAGACGTTGAGCCGGGTCTGGAACGAGCAGTCATCCCGGGAAATCATGGCCGTGCCTCGGCTCCAGACAAACAAGTTGGAGGAAATGTATCATCGGTCGTCGCGCCGGCTGATCATCGTGGACTATGAAGGCACACTCGCCTCCTGGGGCTCGCCAAAGAGTATCATCGTGACGACGCCGCAGCGTGCAATCACGACGCTGGCCGAACTAACCGAGGATCCGCGGAACGTGGTGTATGTGATGAGCGCCCGCATGCCTGAGGAGATGGAGCGGCTGTTCCGGCTGGTCACCAACCTGGGTCTGATCGCCGAGAACGGGTGCTTCGTGCGCGAGCCCAACTCGGAGACCTGGCTGAAGCTGACGGACAAGGTTCAGACGGACGCGTGGAAGGCGGCAGTGTCACATATCTTGGAGTACTACCAGGAACGCGCAGAAGGCAGCTGGGTGGAACAGCGGCACTGC